TATTTTAGTCTTGCTGCAGAATGACATTTGTTGTTTATCTGAATTATATTTTTGGATTTTCCGACAAGGTAATCAACAACCGGGTGTACCTCACTATCGATTCAGGAAACGAGATAAAGTGCTTTTCTATGGAAGGAAGATCATGCGAAAGGTTGTCTTTTTCTTTTTTTTCCCTTCTCAGTTCTGTTGATGGCTCATACACACTCTCTTGGTATAGTCTACTAGTATAGTCTAGTAGATTGTTATCTGCTCTATAAAAACTAGTTAATTTTGCTTTTAATGCTTTTATGCCAACAGTTGATGTCCAGAAATACTTGATGTTAACATCTAGTTGTAGTTTCCTATTAATTTCATAGGCAACACTACTAAGACTATAGTTTCACCCTAATACACAATGACTGAAAATGCCTTCAGTAGTTTGGCTTGATGATAAATGACAAACAGCCTTTCTATGTTTAATACAGCAGTTTAAAAAAAGAAAATCCGTTTTAATATTTCTTAAGTAAAAGTACAACTTTGGATAAAATTCTTTTTCTGCGCGCAATAAACAAAATATATTTGAATATTGTTTTGTAGGTTAAGACACTCTCCTCGCTTCCTTCTCCATCCCATCCCTCGCCATCAAAGCAACCACAGCGCATACGAAAAAGAACCAAAGTTCTAAACATAGCCCGCAAGTATGACGAAAGAACACATTTTTAAATTCTATGTACTCAAGGCTTTTTGTGAAATTAGTGTTTTATTTTTAAAGTACATGTTTGTTTGTTTGTCTGTTTGTTTGTTTTTCCTCCTGACAGAATTCTGAGGATCCGGAGAGACCCTCCCACCCTGCAGCCCAAGGAACCCCCTCCCTCCCTGCTGGAAGCTGATCTAACAGAGTTTGAAGTGCAGAGCTCGAATCTGCCTTCTGAGGTCCTGTATATGCTGAAAAATGTCAGGTAGGCAAGTCAATTTTTTGTGTGTGTGTGTGTGTGTGTGTGTGTGTGTGTGTGTGTGTGTGTGTGTGTGGGTTGTTGTGTGAGTCATTGTGCTACGCCGACACACGAGA